GCCAGAGGGACTCCGCGGCCGAGGGCGGCTCCAGAACTACGTGACCAATCGCGCTCGCGCGCAGCTGCCGCTTCAGCCAACACAGGATCCCCGCCCGTGCACACACCCCCGCCCCGCAGAGCGCGCCGCCGCCCGTGCGCAGGCGCAGGCCCCGCCCCTCGCCCCGCCCCCTCACAGCTACGGGAGCGGCGTGAGGAGCCGGCCCCCAGCGCCCCGCCTCCTCTGTCCCCTGGTCTGGAGCATGGAGGGGGAGAGTACGTCGGCCGTGCTCTCCGGCTTTGTGTTCGGCGCGCTGGCCTTCCAGCACCTCAACACCAACTCGGACATGGTGAGCCGAGAGAGCGAGAGGGGACCCGGCGTCGCCTCAGAAGAGGCCTGGCGCCCGGCCTCCTTCCCGCCGGCTGCGCTCGGAGCCTCCCCGCCGTCGCCGCCGGTCCCCGCCCGCGCGCATCTCCCCCCGCGCCGGCGCCCCCCTGCCCTCGCCTTCCGCCTCTCCTGTGGGGCGCCTGCTCGTGACGTCTCTCCCGAGACTGACGTCTCCCCTCTTTGATCCGTGTTGATTTCTCTTCCCCCGACCCGAGCCCACACGCTTGCTCGTCCCTCCCTCCGTCAGTCTTCCCCGTTTCGCGGCCGGCTGGAGCGTGGAAGTGCCCTGGGCGCCGTCCCGCCACCGCTCGCAAAGTTGCCGCCTAACTCTCGCGTCTCCCGCTACCCGCGGTGTGCTTCCCCAGGCTGCGGGGACGTGCCCGTGCCTGCGCTGCTTTGGTTTAGAGTTGTAGTGTTGGGTGACGAGGGAGTGATGGGCGATCGGTTCGCTGACTGGGGCGGGGAGGGCAAGAGCCAGAGTGAACCAGTGGATGAAAACCTCCGGTATATTCGATATCAGACTTAAGTGTTTGGAGTGATATAAAGTACATTAAAATATAAAGGCTCAGCTAGTTCCTTTTCCAGTGATTTGTTAGAAAGCATCGTTTATCCTCAAATATTAAGTATTCAAATGCTTATGTATTTTCCTGGGTTCAAAAACCTCTGAAGTCTAATGAAACAGTTAATTCCAGTGCCCATTTCAGAAGCTTTTGTTTCTATGAATTTTTTGTAAAACCTTGTAAAACTTGAAGCTTAAGAAGCAGTGTTATTTAGTAAGTGTTCCTTAACTTGCTGAAAAGAAAAAATAAACACCCGAAATACGCCATCATATTGAATAAATTTTAGAGATTTATGCTCCATTTTGTACCTGTTTTAGATTATAAGGTCTACCTTGCTAAATATTGAGCTTTTGTAATAAAGGCAGCATTGATTATATTTTATAATTTTAAATAACCTGGCAAGCTAACATCTATCAAAAGATCATCCTCAAGGGTCACAAATTGTATTCCTTCTCAAAAGCCCCTGCTGCCCTTGAAAAATCAGCAGGTGCAGGAAAAAATGTCGTGATGTCACTTTTCTGGCATTTTTCTCACCAATGCTGTTTTCAGTTTTTTTAAAAATTCATCATAATAAGCTCCTATGGCCCTATTAACCTATTAAGTTTACCCCTTTGGAGTCCCCGAAAACAGCCCATATAACCTTCTGAGCTGACCTTTCTGCCTGGAATTTAGCCAATAGCAGATCCCTTTGGAAGTCCCTATTTTGACTGGACTTTTAAAAGCACCTTGATGAGGCTAAGACAAGTGAATTTAGAATAAACCTGTGCATGAATGAACTGAACACTAGAAGCAATTCTTTCCGGGCCCCCACCCCCACCCCCAACAGTTTTTTGGGCACATAATTCACATATACAACTGACCGGTTCCATCATCCAGTCACGTCAAGGGGAGTGGTACAGTCACCACCACATCTGTCATCTGTCGTAGAGCCTTCCCCTACCCCCTCTCTCTCCATGGTTTTATCGCCTTTAAACTGAGTTGTACAATCACGATCATTTCTAGTCATGGATATTCTTGCTGAGCATTCATTAAGCAAGCTGTCTCATCCTTCAAACTCTAGGCTGCCATCATTTCTTCAGGAAGATATTTCCAAGGTCTGGGCATTGTTGCCGCTCTACGTGTTCCAAGATTATACAGCTTCCAGTGTAAGGCCCCTTAGTCTGTGTTTTATTTCCTGCTTCTCGGTTTGTATGTCCTTGTGAGGTTAGGAACCATGTTTGTTTTGTTTACTGTTATCCCCAGCAAGAAGCAATCCTTTTTGACTTAACTAAACTGTGTTAGTTAATACCAAGGGCATTCCAAAATAATTTCCACAGCTACATCTATTAACCAGCCTCATTATGAATCATAGTGACCCACTAGGGCAGGGTAGAACTGTCCTATAGGGTTGCCTAGACTGTAATCTATACAGACACCGACTGCCATCTTTCTCCTACTAAATAGCACACCTTTTGGTTAGCACCAAGCTATACATTAAAAATTATATTTGGTCTTTTGATAGATGTTAGCTTCTAGGTGAGTTAATGGCAAGGGGGTGGGGGCATGTCTGACTTCCAGCTTCAGATAGGAGAATCCAGCTCCACAACAACCCAAAGCCGATTGCCACAAGGCAGAGGTCAGGCATATCTCCCCCTTCTATGCTGCTTTGACTGGTTTCTGACTCCAGCTTCCATGACACTGCCCTCTGATGGGTTTGATAAAGCTTTGCAGTGCCCACGCAGAACTCATATAAAACTCATGATTATGGGGTTTATTAGGAAAGTTAACAAGTTACCATATATAAAGATCAGAAAACATTAAGGATACATACAGTCTTTTATCCACAATACCTTTTTTTGCCATGCTGGCAGATACATTCTTTCTGGTCTTCAGCTTCACAGCTGTGTTGTCCCTTGGCTTTTGCCTCATTCTGTGGGCCAGGAAACCTGTTGCTCTGCCTCAGGATCTTAGCATGGCTTCTATTCTCTTTCCTATGGTCTCTGTGGCATGGTCTCTGGTGCCTCTGGTACTTCCTCCACTGAAGGCAGGCATCTCACCCAAGCTCTGCCTGTGGCTCTTGTTAGTCCTGGGAGTCTCTATTTTTGTTGAGATGCCTCACCTAGAGGAGTGACAAAACTGACCAACCTCTTTACTAGGGTTCACACACCTTACTGGTATGGTCCAATCAATCATTTGGGCGGTTACTAAGACATGGTTAGAAGAGCCTTGAAGTAATTTCACTAAACTACGTGATTTAAAATTGCTAATAAAATAATTATATCAGTTCTGTCTTTTATTAGAAGAGTGCCAAAAACCAATTTTTGACAAGATAGCTTTTATTATAAAATTAGATCTTTAAATATGTCAAGAGATAATTGAATTAATTAAATTCAAAGAAATTACCACTGTTTGGCATATTGCCTATTACTTGTTTTTAATTGGAATTTATAGTTCTTTCAGAAAGCAGACTACTGTTAGTGAATGGCAAACTCAAATTGTTCTATAAACTTACCGTTCTACCATTAAAAAAACAAACAAAATCAGATCATTGTCATTTTCCAGCTGAGGCCTCCAGTGACTCTCAGATCTCTCGGTTCACCTGGGTTCCTTCATTTGGTATGTTCTGTTATTGCTATCCCACGGAACCTTCGTTTTCTTAACAACTAGGAACCTTTAGTTCCAAGATAAATTGCCATTACTCATCCTTGAACAAGCATGTGTGCTCATTTTTGATAAGCCTCTTTATGCTTCCAAGTGCTAGCTAAGTGCTTCTTGTTGCACCTTCACATTGTAACACAGCCCTTTAAGTTCAGTTCCATTCTTGCTGAGGAGAGGGTTCTCAAAATATTTCAGGGCATGGTATTCTATACATTTTTATTTAACTCTTCAAATTTCCCAACTAAGCTGGAATTGTCTGGTCATTTGTGTACGCACCACCCTCCCCCCACCACACACACATACATGCACTAGTACATACTTGAATACACTGTAAAATATTCAGGAAGTACTAGTTAAGTGACTACTAATTCTTTAAAGTAGTCCATATATTTATTATTTTTTATCTTCATAGGAAGGTTTTCTCCTTGGGGAAGTAAAAGGTGAAGCCAAGAACAGCATTACTGACTCCCAAATGGATGATGTTGAAGTTGTTTATACAATTGGTGAGTCCATTTTCCTGTCTCCAATTGTTGATAGTTTATGCTGAAATTACTGTTTTAAAATTGTTTAAAACAAACAAAACCACTGTTTAAAAGCAGGGTTAAAGACTATATATTATACTCCTTACTTTCTCAATTAAGGCCTAGGACTGGTTTAAAGCTGGAAACATGGTATAGAGAAGCAGAGAAGAATACTATTGGGGAAACAAGGATGGAACCATTCCTGCATAGTTTTAGTGGTAGAAGATGGCTTAGTAAAAAAGAGGCCAATAAGCAAGACCAAGAAAAAAAGTAAACCATTTCCAGAAAAACATTAGGAACAACTGTTAAATGCAGAAAAATCCAAAGATGAAAAGGGAAAAAGACTTGGTGGTTAGAGAATTGAAAATCTTGAGTAATGTCTAGAATGTAATGGGAAAAGGACCAGATTATGAACTGGGTGAGGGGTAGTGGGGGCGGGGGGTATAAAATGGCTACTTTTGTGGCAAATACTCTTTGGAGGAGAGGGGCGGGAGAGACAAGGAAAAATAACTTTATATAAGGAGTTTTCTGATTATCTAATATGTACCGGTTTTTCATAAGCATATACATATATTTTACACAAAATTGGTATACTTTATAAAAAGTGCGGCATCATGCCATTGTAACAATGTGAAGATGGTAAGACTTCTGTTAAGTAAAGTATGATTTTGAGTGTACTGTATTCTACTGTATGACTATATTGATTTAAGTAGCCCTATAAGGAGCCTTGGTGGTATAGTGGTTACTCACTGGGCTGTGATCCACATGGTCAGCAGTTTGAAACCACCAGCTGCTCCTCAGGAGAAAAGCCAGGCTTTCTACTCCATTAAAGAGGTACAGTCTCAGAAACTCACAAGGGCAGTTCTACCCTGTCCGATCGGGTTACTAGGAGTCCACATCAATTTGATGGTAGTAGGTTTTTTTTAAATAACTTCATTATAATGAGACTTTATAGTTTTTCATTATAAATCATACTATAGCACATCTCCTTGTACATTTTTGGGGAATGGTATTACAGTGTTGAAGAGTATTAATATTTTTTAAAAGTTCTTGATACGTATATTAGAAAACTTTTCCAGAATTATAGCAACATATACTTACTATCATTTTTAGTTTCCACTTTAAGAGGTCACAAATAGAAGTGTATAGAAGAAAATTTTAAATGTAAACTAATTTTCCCTAGAGTCTTAACAGCAACCACCATTTTATGGATAATTTTTTACTACTAATAATAGACATAAGACATATATAGAGAAATGTACGTGCTTATTTGCACAGATAGCATCATACTATCTATGCATAAGTATTTCCAATATATTAGTGCACAATAGTATCAGTGCATGTAATTCTTTGTCATTTGAATGGCTACATATTTTCCTTTACATAGAAATAGCATACCTTACTTACCACCTGGTT